TCCTCTTTTCCCCCTACCACCGCACCCCTGCAGACTCTGCACATGGACGTCTGGGGCCCAGCCCCGGTCCATGGGCCACGTCGCGAGCGCTTCTTCCTAGTGCTTGTCGACGACTTCACACGTTACACCACCGTCTTTCCCCTGGAGCGGAAGGCCGACGTGCCTGACGTTCTCATCCCCTGGCTTGTCTCTGCTCGTCTCCACCGCGGTCTCCCTGCCTTGCGCCTCCACTCCGACCGGGGTGGCGAGTTCGCCTCAGGTGTCCTTGGTCGCTTCTGTCGTGCGGAGGGCATCACCCAGACGTTCACCCTGCCGGACTCCCCGCAGCAGAATGGGGTCGCTGAGCGACGCATCGGTTTGGTCATGGAGGTGGCTCGCACCTCCATGATCCACGCCGGTGCACCCCATTTTCTGTGGCCGTTCGCCGTGCGCTACGCCGCTCACCAGCTTAACCTGTGGCCGCACCCCCAGCGGCCGCAGGTTTCGCCGACCCTTCTGTGGACCGGGTCCCCTGGTGACGCGTCTGCGTTCCACGTCTGGGGCTGCCTTGCTCACGTTCGTGCCTCTGGCACGGACAAGCTCACTGCCCGCACCCTCCCCTGCGTCTTCCTCGGTTTCCCCCTTGACGCGTCCGACTAGCACTTCTACCACCCGCCGTCTCACCGTTTCTTTCACTCTCGCGACGTCACCTTTGACGAGTCCGTCTCCTTCTACCGCCGCTTTCCCCACCGTGGTCCCCCGGTTACTCCCCCCCTGTTCCTGGTTCCTCCCTCCCTGGTGGCCCCTGCCCCTCCCCCCCCCCGCCCCCCCGTCCGGCCCCCTCTGGTGTGTCTCACGTCACCCCCCTCCCGTCGGTCGTTCCGGTCGACGAGTCTTCTGACTCTGGTAGTCCTTTGGCGCAGTCCTCGCCGTCTGTCCCTCCCCCGGTGTCTCCTCCTCCACCGCCTCCGCAGCCGCCGTCGCCGCAGCTGCTGCAGCCGTCGTCTCCGCCGCCGCCGCCGTCGAGGCCGTCGCTGCAGCCGCCGCCGCCGCCGCCGCCGTCGTCGCTGCCGCTGTTTGTGGACTCTGGGGGTGCTGGAGTTGAGGTGGGTACTAGTCCCGGGGCTCCTGTCGTGGCTTGTCCCGGCGGGCCTGGGGGTGGTACCGGTGCTGGCGGTGTTTCGGGCTCTGGGGGTGTCCCTTCTGGGGGTGCCGGCGTGGAGGGTTCGGGAGGTAGCCGTCGCGCAGCTTGTGGCCCTGGCGTTGGTGTTGTGTCGCCGCAGCAGCAGTCCCCGCCGGTGTCCGCCCTCCGTCTGCTCGGCCTTCCGTCTCCTGACCCTGCGCCTGTTCCTCCCCGGCCGTCTCCCCCTCTTCCCGTCTACGGCCCCGTGTTCCCTCCGCCGGACTCGTCCCCGGCTCGTTTTCCCCCTCGTTCCCCACCCGTCTCCCCTCCTCTGTCTCCTGACCCGACGCCGCCCTCTCACGTCTGGTCTCGCCGCCCCCCCCGTGCTCGTCCTGTCTCCCCCGTCCCGCGCACTCACCCTATGTTGCTCCGCTCCCACGCGTCTCGTCCTCCCCTCCTCCCGTCTCCTCCTCCGTCCTCTCTTGTCGTTGCGTCTCCTCCTCTGTCTGACTACTTTCGTGCCGCTCGTCCTCTTGTTCCTCGGGTCCTTGCCTCTCTCGTTACCGACCCGTCTGTTCCAGTGTCGAGTCTTGACGCCCTTGTCGCTGCGGTCGCTGACTTCGCCTCTACCCGCCGCCTTGACTACGCCTCCGCTCTGGTCTCTGACCCTGCCTGTCCTCCGTCTGTCGGGGGTGCTCCTGCCCTCGGCAGTGACGTCCTGGAGGACCGCCAGTTTGAGCTTGCTTTCCTGTCCGAGGCTGCTCCCCATCTCTGTTCCATGCTGCTAGTCCCTGAGGGTGACCCAGACGCTTTGGACATCCCGACCCCTCGTACTTACGCTGAGGCGGTTTCGGGACCTTGGGCCTCTCAGTGGATAGCTGCCATGGAGCAGGAGATGGCATCTTGGAGATCCACCGGCACCTTCGTCGACGCAGTTCCCCCACTTGGGGTGAACGTGGTCGATGGCCGTTGGCTCTTCAAGGTGAAGCGCCCTCCTGGAGAGCCGCCTGTGTTCAAGGCGCGTTACGTGGCTAGAGGCTTCAGTCAGCGCGAGGGGGTGGACTTCTTTCAGACTTTCGCTCCTACCCCGAAGATGACTACTCTTCGGGTTCTGCTACACGTAGCGGCTCAGCGTGACTACGAGCTTCACTCCCTCGACTTTTCCACTGCCTTTCTTCAGGGCAGCCTTCACGAGCAGGTCTACCTGCGGCGTCCTCAGGGCTTTACTGGCACCTTCCCCCCTGGGACCCAGTGGCTTCTGCGGCGCCCTGTCTACGGCCTGCGCCAGGCGCCTCGTGAGTGGCACGACACGCTGCGTGCTACTCTTGCTGACCTGCAGTTCTTTCCGTCCTCTACAGACCCCTCGCTCTTCGTTCGTGCTGGCTCGACTCCGTTCTACATCCTCGTCTACGTAGACGACCTGGTCTTTGCCACAGCTGACAGGGACGCACTGGCCTCCGTGAAGGCAGAGCTGCTGAAGAGACACACCTGCACTGACCTTGGAGAGCTGCGCCGTTACCTTGGCTTGCAGATCTCCAGGGACAGAGCCGCGCGCACCATCACCCTGACTCAGTCACACTTGGTGCGCCAGGTCCTTCAGAGGTTCGGCCTTCAGTTCTCCTCCGCACAGCCCACCCCTCTTCCTCTGGACCACAGACTCTCCGCTCCAGTTCCTGAGGAGTCGGTAGATCCCAGTGGTCCTTACGCTGAGCTAGTGGGTTGCCTCATGTACCTGATGACTTGCACTCGCCCAGATCTCGCATACCCTCTCAGCATCCTGGCTCGTTTTGTGGCCACAGGCAGACACCGACCTCAGCACTGGTCTGCCGCTAAGAGGGTTTTGCGTTATCTTGCAAGTACATCGGGCATGGGGTTAGTGCTAGGCGGACGCAGGCCAGTGGTCCTTACTAGACACACAGACGCTTCTTGGGCAGACGACGCCGAGACGCTCAGGTCTTCCCAGGGCTACTGCTTTAGCCTTGGCTCAGGTGCTGTCTCGTGGAGAGCTACCCGCTCCTCGTCGGTTGCCCAGTCCAGCTGTGAGGCTGAGATCTACGCCGGTGCCATGGCGGCACAGGAGCTCCGCTGGCTGACCTTCTTGCTCACTGACTTAGGTGAGCGGCCTAGCTCTGCCCCGGTCCTGTACGCTGACAATAGGGCCATGATTCTCCTGTGTCAGGAGCCTCGACTCGAGGGCAGAGCGAAGCACATCCAGCTGCGGTACTTCCTCCTGCGCGAGCTACAGCAGCGGCGCCAGGCTCGCGTAGTACACTTGGCCTCCGGTGCCAACACAGCTGATATCTTTACGAAGGCGCTTGCGCCTAAAGATCATCAGCGGCACTGTTTACAGCTTGGTCTGGTTCCTGTAGTCTCTCACTTACTCGGGCCTTGACTTTGTACTGTCGTCTATATATATATGTATACACTCAGACTGGACTTGTGTCCTCTCACAGTGGTTGGACTAGTAGTGCCGCCCTGTACTCGTTCTTGCCTTGTCTGTACTCCTTCTGACTGGTCTTTTAGACCCTTGTCTCAGAGGCTGGACTAGTAGTGCCACCCTGAGCTGCTTGTCTAGAACATTACCCTATGCAGTCCAGGGGGTGTGTCAAACATGTGTAGTTATCATGTTTGTATAGACTGTATAGGGTCACCTTCTAGAGAGTACAACAGTTAGGTATATGTTTGTGTACTCTCTCTCTCTCACATTATTCAATTCTAGGTTTGATACCCTCCTCCATTCATTTGCCTCTCTTCAATTTCGAAAATTGCATTTTCGTCCCTTCCCCTAGGCTAGCACAGCGGCTTTCCGTGATGCGTAGCAAGCACCCGCCACCTTAAAGGGAATCTCGTGGTACCAAGCGCCGAGCAGGCGGAAGTACAGCTCCCCGTGTGTACGTGAACATTTTTGGGCGGGTAAATTCCCCTGGCGACACCATCAACGGCCCTGTGCAGCCTGCGAAGAAAAATTCTTCCAGTGATGCACAGCGACGTGAACCTCCCCTCACGGCATCGAACGACGAGGGGGAGGATGCTGACGAAGAGGCAGATGGATCGGCCTGTGCTCAGGGAGACGACGACGAGGAATGGTGGGCGAAGCCTATCGGCTCTGACGTAAAGGAATGCCACGCGGGTGATGATGCGGGCGACGAGTGGGGTGGCGGAGTGGGTGACGATGAGGGGTTCGAGGAAGGCTGCAGAGTGGGTGACGATGCGGGCTTCGAGGACGGCTGCGATGTGGGAGGCGGTGAGGCAGAGGACGATGCCGACTATGACGTGCGCGAGGAGGCGGATGATGACTCGGCCGAAGAGACGGGCGGCATGTCCGACGAGGACATGCCGATCTTCAAGCGCCGAGTACTGTTCAAGGTGAATGGCACGCGGCAGCGGGTGGTGACGAGTGACGTCGAGTCTGGCGGAACGAAGCGGAAGGCGGCAAGTTGTCAATCGCCGTCTAAGCGCTGGCGATACACGAGAGCAGAGAAAGGGAAGCGGAAGGGAAGAGAAAGGGAACCTCGAAAATCTTGACTGCCCCCCCTAGACACGCTTTTGAAAAGGACTAAGACCCGCTACAATGCTGAGAAATTCAGGGTTTGCTAAGAAACCTTGCTGAGCCATCAGAGTTTACCCTTACAAAAAGCCTGAGAAAACAGGGTGTGTCTTCACAAAATCCTGCACAATCAGGGTAAGTGCTGAGAAATTCCCTGTTTTTTTCCTGAATCAGGAAAATTTTCCTGACTTCTGGGGGCCTGCCTCAGAGGATCAAAACGAACTGCTGGCGGAGGTACTCTGGAAGATAGATGCCAGGGAGGGGGGCTGTAGTTGAAGTTGGACTGCACAAAACCTACAGGAGAAATCACACGCAATAAGAAACGTTCTGTAACTACAGAACACGTGCAGTTTCTAAAATCAAACCATATAATGTCACTACTATGAATCATAGGCTGCACAGCCTATGAACTAGAACCAAGACTACTGGAAAATTACAGTACATGCATGCTAGACGTGTCATCAGTATCGGTGATGAGTGTACAGGGGTGAGCAGCAGTCAAGTAATCAACTGTCCCCTCTGGCAGCTTTTTGTTTTGCCAAGCATGGCATAGTTACTGCCATGTCAAAAGAAGATGCAGCTTCCCATGATGTCTCTGCAGGTGTTGATGGCAACCTTGGCCTCAAAACAGCTGATTGGTATCAGCGCATGCGGACGTGTTGGTTGGGGAGAATGAGGTCGGGATTCCGAATGTGTGGGTTCAGCTTCACCACATCCTTCCACTTTGTGCCGCTGCCATGCACCTTCTGCGACAAGCTCCACAGAGTGTCACCTGACTGTACAGTCACCTTGGCAGGCCTGCTCGGTCCCTTCGGCTTAGCTGCACCCTTCTTCCCCATGCCATTAGCTGCAAGCCACCTGGACCCTGCCTGCCCCTGTTTCTGGTTCCCCCACCCTCTCTTAGCAGCCTCTTCAGATTTCAGCCCCATCATATGCACCCCTGTCAGTTTGAACCGCGGCTTTTCCACTCCACCTTTCCCCTTTGCGCCTGGCTGCTCCTCATCATCCACCTCTTCCACAATCACATCCCCTTCTCTCGGCCGATGGCCCGCTCCGTTCCGCTCTGCCAGAGGCCCTCCTGCCGGCCGCACAGCAGTACCAGTGTGCAGATTATATGCAATTCTTCTCACACCTCCAGGCCCTGGCAAGGCCTTGGCGCCTCCTGCTCCTCCGCCCCCCTCCAATGCCGCTACACCATTACCATTGCTGTTACCCTCAGCATTAGCAGCAGCAGGGGGGGCTCGCTCTGCCTGCAGCAGAGCCATCATGGGGGCACCCACTGGCTCAAAGTTCCTCAGAGGGTCTCTCAGCTGCACCAGCATCGCCACCGTCACCTTATCCCCCATCAACCCGCCTTCAACCCCTCCTCCTGCTCCACCCAGCGCTCCCCCCATCCCTCCTCCCATGCCCATCATCCCCATCCCCCCACCACCCATCATGCCCATCTGCCCTGCACGCGCACCCCATGCCGCCAACCCACCTGCCCCCATCCCTCCGCCCATCCCTCCACCCACCATCCCTCCTCCCCTCACGGCGGCCAAGTCCAACCTCATCTGGGCAATATCATGCAGCACCATCTCCCCAGCGCCATGCGCAGCGCAGTGCGCCTGTAGCACCGCGAGAGTATCATCCTCCGTCTCGAAGTCTTCAAATATCCCCGCGTCCAGCCGCTGCCACTCGTCCACAGACACCGCCAGCCCCATCGCACCCCCCCCTGCTGCCTCCATCGCCCACTCGTCCCCTCCTGCCCCCATCTCCGCCCCTCCATACATCAATGCGCCCATCCCTCCCCCTCCCGCTCCCAAAGCTGCCCTCCCCCCTGCTCCCTCGCCCATCCTCAACGCCCCAAACCCGCCCATTCCCAGCGCGCCCGCTGCACCCCGAGCGCCATCCTTCCCCAGCTCTATGGCATACGGAGCCAGCAGATCAGTCGCGTCGTTCTGCACTCTGAGCCCCTCCAGAGCCATCCTCTCTATCTGCTCAATAGCCAGCGCCCCCAGCTCGTCTAAGGGCACATATTCGTCCTCCCCGTCCTCCCACCCCTCCTCCCCCATCAGCATCAGCTCCAACTCCATGTCCTCCATATCCTCTATAAGCACATCCCCTGCAAGCAACTGCCTCTCTCCGTTCGCTCCCTTCCCACCAGCACCACCACCAGCAGCAACAAGGCCCCCAGCAGTTCGCCTTAGCAGCGCCAGCCGCCCCTCCTTGGCCCCGCCCGCCCCAGTTGCGCCTTCCCCTGCCTCCCCCCCTCCCCCGCCCTGCTCCAGCAGCAGCTTCCGCTGCAGCTGCCTCTGCCTTGCCGCGGCTATCAGCCTGCCTCGGCGCTGCAGCCGAACCAGAGTGCCAGCCATGGCGGACTGCCGAGCCACAGCTGTCATAGCTTCGGGGGACAGACCTCCCGGCATACCTACGGCCAAGCCTCCTCCCGTTGTTGCTAGCTGTCCGGCCCCTACATGCACTAGCTGCCCCCTGTGCATCCCTGCTGCTGCTGCTCCGCCTTCAAGAGCGAGGTAACCCACCCCACGCCCCTCCAGAGCCAAATAGGACTCTCCTGCTGCTTCTGCTGCTGCTGCACCAAGAGCCCTCCTGTAATGGGGAAAGGGGGAGAAAAAAGGGGATAGGGGGAAAGGGAGGAGGGCAAGGGGAAAAGGGAAAGGGGGGGGGAGGGAAAGGGGAAAAGGGATTGAGAGAGTGCAAAGGGAAGGACGTGGTGGAGAGGGAGTGAGGATGTGAAGAGAGAGTGAGTGAGGGGCGCACTGAGCCGTCACTAGTATCGACGGCTTATCCATTGAAAGAGTTAGGTACGCCGCACTGCACAGCGGAGGGGCACAGAGAGCCGTCACGGATATGGACGTCTTATCCAGTGCAAGACTGTCATCCCTTGGCCACACTTCCCTCCTTGTGCACCCGGTGTCTCCTAAGCTGCTCCCTATTTCTGATTTTTTCTTAGTGGTGCTCACTGTTCCCCCTTTTTTTAAGAATGTTAAAAGAAATCTATTCCCTTTTTTAGCATTCATGCCTTACAACGCATTTCTATTCCCTGGTATCACACCTCTGTGGCGCGCCCAGCCGCCTGAGGTGCTCCTCATACCCGGCACTGCCCGCCCCACCCAGGAAAAGCAGCCCCCATGCGCAGCCCTCACATGCATTCACGCCTGACA